TGTAACCTCACAGCCTAACATGTAACTGCCTGGTAGCTTAGATAGCTGTGTATTTCTTACAGGTTTGAGTCGTTGTTGTTCAAGCTACTGTTAAAGCAAGGATAATGAATGTTGACTTTTCAAAACACGCATACTCTAACCGGTTTGAATATGGACGTTAGCAAATGGGGTAGACCAAGATGTGAGCTACGAAGAGGAGACGTCAGAATCAAGTACAAAAGAAATTACCGATATGTAAGATCAGATATCTGTGCGTGACACTCCACACTACAGATGAATGGGGCAAAAACAAAACTGCCGACTCGCTAGTGAAATCAAAGTTCTAAAAGAGACAACGTAAAATCTGATACAGAAATTGAATAGCGAAAGATATCTTCCAAAACCTGAACAGGGTGTTAAAAAAAAAACAGACAAACAAAATCTCCAGAAACAAAGAAAGGGTGCTGAACCGTTATGTAATGTCAGTGTATGCTGGGCAATTTCCTCACAGATGAAGAGGAAACTAAAGACAAAGAAGTTCTAGAGAAGGATGCCGAGAATTCTATAGACGGAATATCATGCGAGCACGAAAATGGAAACAATGAAAATGACAATTTTAGTTAGAATCAGAAAGAAACAGTTGAAATTTCTAGCAAGCTTCACGAAGAAAGACTGCATGAAGAATTTGATACCCACATGATATATTCAAGGTAAGAGTTGCAGAGAGAAATGTCGAGTAACCTATCTAACGAACGTTTGTTAATGGATGACAGAACATGGTCTGGGAGGGATAGTAAGAGAAAAAACATTGCTTAGAGAAACAAAGTACAGGAAGTTGTGGTGAGCCATGATCACCCACGCGCTGATCACCCAAAGAAGGTTCATCTTGTTTTATCGTGTAAAATTTCTTTCAGTTGTTTCTAAAGTTTGATTTGCAGATGCTGGTTATTTTTCCGTTTTCAGGGCGTGTTAGAGGCGTGGCATATTTTCCCCCGTAGATGACTGACGAGGCGCTATCAGCACACGGATGTACCTGTAGTGTAATGGATAATGGAGAGCCGAGTTCCAATTTCTGTCGGGTTCGTTATACGCGCAAATACTATTGGAAAAGTTATGACTCAACCTTTTATCCCCCAGCTATGGGCTAATTAGTAGGACGTGTATCAGTAAACCATTATTATCTCAAAAAATTCTTACAATCTAAAAATATTTTCTGGATTAAAATAACCTGTAAAAGGTTGATAATCCGTAAAAACCAAACCATAAGTCAATTCTACTTTATATTAACTATCTTCCCAGGAACATTCTCAGATCTACGAGGACACTGCCAAAAGCCTACAGGGTCAGTGTCTGGAAGCTTATATCGCTTTTAATTTTCTTCAATGGGGAAAACTGATTTGAAACGTGTCATTTTTTTCTTTATTTTATTTAAAAATTATTTAGTCCGTTTATTTTATTTTATTTTATTTTATTTTATTTTATTTATTTATTTACGGCTTTAACAAACTTGGGTATTTCACACAGACACCAGTAGACAGTGTTCAAATCCAAGTAAAATCTAGCGTTTCTGGAGCTGATCTTCAAGGTAAGCATGCAAATCATCGTCACCTTCTTTTTTTCTTTTTTTTTTTTTTTCTTGCAGCTTAGTCATAAAGATTTAAAGAAGCGAATATGTTTTTTTCATGCTTTATTGTGAGGCAAAATCAAAACGTGTTTCTTTTTTTTCTTTCCTTCTCCCACTTTTTTTTTTTTTTTGCTTTATCGCCTCCTTTCTAAAACTCACTATTGTTTCTCCATCTATCTTGCCCACCTTCTCCTTTTCATTCTCTCTTTCTGTTGTCGTTCCCACTCCTGTAACTATTTTCGACTCCAACCACTTCTTTTTTTTATTATCGCTTCCCGCGTAAACCCGCTGTCACGACTTGCCTAACCTGCGTTTTTTTGTTATGTCTCCCTCAGATTGGAAGCAATATATTAAACATACGGAGCGTTACTTTTGAGGAACAAAAAACTGCAGCTGAGCTGCCCATCTGTTTTTCGGGATACAATTCCCTTTATAAACTTTCTCCTCCCGTTGTCGTCCTTCTCTTCCTCTTACATTCTTTCTAGTTGATCAAACACTAAAATCTCTGACAGCCCAAAACAAGAACGTCTATCTGATAGCGAAACCCCAAATCTATAATGTTGTTATGTCTGTCAGAGCTCTGCCTCCTTTTCTCTCCTTTTAATTGTACGCCATACATTAGTCAACACGAATCTCATTTAAAGCCTTTGTTTACTTTTCCGTCAGATTTTGATTGCTACCCACCAAACAATATCTCCTGTTATTTATTATTTCAAGACTCTTGTACGAAAAATTACTTACCTGAACGTCAGATTTGCAGCAAGTGTAACGGAAGATCTTTTGTCAACAACAGTTGTATAGAAGCCCATTGATATCTGACATTAGTGCTGGCTTATTAAAATGATTCAGATAGTCTGTTTAAATGAAACTCCTAATTGGAGAAAATGACGTCAGAAAATGACCTGAACGAATACCAACACTGAATATTTCATACGATATTATAGTATATAATACTTTTTTATAAATTTTATTTTCAAAAAGACACCCAATTGATAGTGACATAGAGCAACGACCTATTTTACCTGACTGGTTCGCAAAATACGTTTTCTTAAGCGAATAGGCTTTTTTGCCGGTGCCGGTAATATAGACACCAAGGATATTTGCCGATGCTGGTAATATAGACAAAAATGTTATTTTACCGGTCCTGGTAAAATAGGCACCAGGTTTATTTTGCCGTTCCCGGTAAAATAGACACCAAGGTTATTTTGCTGGTCCCGGTAAAATAGACACCGAGGTTATTTTGCCGGGTCAGGTAATATAGACATCAAGGTTATTTTGCCGGTCTTGGTTAAATAGACACCCAGGTTATTTTTCCGGTTCCGTTAATATAGACACCAATGTTATTGTGCCGGTCCTGGTAAAATAAACACCAAGTTTATTTTACCGGTTCTATTAACATAGACACCAAGTTTATTTTGCCGGTCCCGGCAAAATAAACACCAAGGTTATTTTTCTGGTTCCGGTAATATGGACACCAATGTTATTTTGTGGGTCCTGGTAAAATAGACACCAAAGTTACTTTTCGGTCCCGGTAATATAGACACCAAGTTTATTTTGCCGGTTCTGGTAAAATAGACACCTAGGTTATTTTGCAGGTACCTGTAAAATAGACACCACGACTATTTTGCTTTTTATGTCTAGGTTGGACTACATTACATAACTTATAATCTACAATTCTTACATTCATAAATCAACACCATTCACTCAACCTTGATTCACCTTTTCAGGTTTGTATTTGGCAAACAACAGCGTAAAAAAAAACTTCTGTTAAGACACTTGCTAATCTACTGAGTTCGATCCCCACTTTGTGCCCCAGTAATGTGTTTCTGTGGCTGTTGAGTTTAATATTTTGGTGTTCTTGCCAGACTAATATGGCTAACAAGGTAATCTGACAAACAAGCGGTGTGTTTTCGATCCCAGTGCGGCCTTAGTAAAATGGAGCATTCCATATAGGCGCCAGTAGATAGTGCTCAAACCCAAATAAAATCCAACGTTTCGTAATCTGAATTTCAAAGCAAGCGCGTTAACATTTCTCATCTGGAAAAATGTCCCAACACAATATTCGGAACACCATCATTCGAAATGTGACGTGTCTCCTGTGTGAGGTGTGCATCGTGTTGTAATGAATATCGGCTCGAAATGAGAAATCGGATAGCCGAGTTCGAATTCCAGTCGAGGTTGTTAGATTCATTTACGCGAAAGGGAATTCCCATTCAGTTGGGAAAAGGTATGAATCCATTTATTCTCCCTCCAGATATAGGTTGAATAGTTAGACAGACTGTGTCCTCTGGCCTTGCTTGCTAACCAACATACCGCAGGAAGAAATGGCAACCAACTGCGGGAAGATCTTCTGCCTAGTGAATCATGAATTGAAATAGACATTACCACCCAGACATGTACCACGTATGGCGCTTATCTGATCAGAATGATTAAATAGTCATATTCAATATAATTTGAAATTGTTTTTTCATGTTGCCTTCAGTTTCGGCGAATCAGTTTTTGCATTCTTGGATCGCTTAGAGCCGTTAGCGAAAAGAAAAATCGCTCACGGAACTGGGCTGCCGTCAATACGTAGCCACAAAGTAGAAGTACAGACAAACCTCTCATCTACGGACTCTCCCTCCTCTTCAGATGCAATGGACAAAATAAAAAGAAAACCGCAAGAAAAAAAACAAAAAAACTTCTAAATCGTCAGTAATGTATTTCAAAATTTGCGGGTTTAGTGGAACGAGACGTATTAGTTCTCAAAGTGACCGCTTGGCGGCATTGGCGGCCCTTTCAATTGTATACAAAGACGGGTGTACAGTATATAAAGTACGATACATTAGCGCGTTAGTGAGAAAGCAGCTGTGAGAAATCTATTTTGTTATTTTGATTAATATATCTATATTAAGTATATATTTATTTATGCCATATATACATGTATATAGTATTTACATTATGATCATAACTACTGGCAGTTACTATAGTGGTTTTATAACTCAAAAATAATCCCTTCTCATTCACAGACAATCGGCTTTAACGGATCATCCATCCCCCTATTAGTCCGTTGATGAGAGTTGTGTCTGTATTTCAGAGTGTTATTCGTTGAGCAGTTCTTTAAAGACATTTTTTCTAATTAAATGTGTAATATTAAATGACGTAATCTGTTGTCATCGGGTGAACGAAATGTCGCTCATTTGATAAAACCTGTAGATGTGAACAAAACAGGATGTAGACGACACCTTTCTCTAGGGGCATAGTCATAAAATCTCAAAAAAAAAATTGACTAAAGCAATGCTATTTTAAAACCCTAAAGGAAAATGAAAATGCAAATTACAAATCAAGAACGTTTATCAGATTTTGGTTATCTAATGTCAAGAGATATAAATAAGGTAATAAAAAGAAGAAAAACTGATCAAGAGAAAGAGAACAGGTGTGTAAGAAAGACAGGTAAATGTTTACAAAAGGATGAGGACCGGCCTTGTAAACGTGTACATCGCGTACGAGGGCAGAAAGTGGAGAAGAAGTAGAAGAATAATGGCGACTGCAAGAGCACAGATAAGAAGGAGGAGGAGGAGAAGAAGGAGAAGGAGAAGGAGGAGGAGAAGAAGAAGAAGGAGGAGGGTAAAGAGAAGATGATGCCGGAGAAAGAGGGAGCGAATATGAATGAAGAAGTACGTGAAGCAAGAAAGAAAAAAAAAAGGCGAGAAGAACAGAAAAAAGGGACAACAAAAGAACTGGAGGGAAAATGATTCGGATTTTGCCTGCTTTTAAGTGAACTACATACAAAAAGCACAAATCAGGTAATAACTAATTAACTCCATATCAGGCTACAGTTTTACTGATCCACCTTACACACACACACACACACACACACACACACACACACACACACACATCCTGCCTCTTATAGATAGAGATTAACATTTGGACTAATATCCTCATTTTTCTTGTTATTATAAAACATTTCGGCCTTCTTCTGAATATCCGGCCAACGTTCAGGGAATTTCGAAATTAACGCTATTTAATCTATGGTGGTAAGTTGTTTTCGTTTCGATGCCAATATCTTATTTTGTAATGAGCAGTTTATATTCATTCTGTTTGTACCGACTTCATTATTATTATTATTATTATTATTATTATTATTATTATTATTATTTCCTATGATTTCTGATGTATACTCATTTCTTTCCGGGTCGCAACTAGAGACCTGATGAACACACGAACGCACCCCATATATATATATATATATATATATATATATATATATATATATATATATATATATATATATATATATATATTTGGTTGGATTGATGTGAGTTTTTCTGACGATCGCAAAAGCGTGAAACCCAGGGTCACAAACTCACATCAATCCAACCAAATATGTTAGCTCTATCTCTGATATTGAGCGCTTTCTAATAAGTACCGCGCATATAATATATATTATATATATATATATATATATATATATATATATATATATATATATATATATATATATATATATATATATATATATTTATATACAGACACTTTTCACAGACACACACTCACATATGTATATATATATATATATATATATATATACGCAGAGGTAAAGTGTAGAGAGAGATAGAGAGAGGGTACCAAACAAAAGCTATGCGTATAAAGATGAATTGAGTAGGACAAAGGAGAGCATAGAAAAAGAAAAAAGGTCGTAACAGAAATAAGAGGAGAAGGCCGAGGAAAATACAAGATAACGAAACAAAAAATGATAGAACAAAAAGGATTTCGAAAGGGAAAGAGAAATAGAAACGAAAAAAGTAAATAGAAGATATTTTGAGAAAATAAAGAAAAAGGAAACAGATGAATTAATGATGAAGAAAACTTATAAAAATGAAACAAAAGAAAATGAAAGGCTAAAATATAAAAATGATTTCTTGGCAATAAAATTATCATCAATGAAAGGCAAATAACGAAGAAGAAGAAGAGACCAAAGAAGAAAGAGACGGATAGAGAAGAAGAAGAAGAAGAAGAAGAAGAAGAAACCAAAGAAAAAGACGTATAGCGATGAAGAAGAAGAAAAAGAAGAAAGAAGAAGAAGAAAAAGAAAGAAGAAGAAACCAAAGAAAAAGACGTATAGCGATGAAGAAGAAGAAAAAGAAGAAAGAAGAAGAAGAAGAAGAAAAAGAAAGAAGAAGAAACCAAAGAAAAAAACGTATAGCGATGAAGAAGAAGAAAAAGAAGAAAGAAGAAGAAAAAGAAGAAAGAAGAAGAAAAAGAAGAAGAAGAAAAAGAAAGAAGAAACCAAAGAAAAAGTCGTATAGCGATGAAGAAGAAGAAGAAGAAAGAAGAAGAAAAAGAAGAAGAAGAAAGAAGAAGAAGAAAAAGAAGAAGAAGAAGAAGAAGAAAAAGAAAGAAGAAGAAACCAAAGAAAAAGACGTATAACGATGGAGAAGAAAAAGAAGAGACCAAAAAAGAAATAGCTATATAGTAATGAAGTTTTTATAGGATGGGAAGAAATTAAAGACGAAGGATAAAACAAAGAAGAAGAAGAAGAAGAAGAAGAAGAAGAAGAAGAAGAAGAAGAAGAAGTGTTGCAAATATGAGCGAGTTGATTGAAGAAATATAATCAATTCCCTCTGCTGAAGAGGCCGTTTATTTTAACACAATCTGGCCGTAAGCCCTGCGGATGTTGGGCTAGTCAAGATGGGACCATAAATGACAAGAAGACCTTCAATACGGTCACTGTATCTATTCACCTGCAGGGGCTGCGTGAATGAGGTTTCAAGAATCTTGTACCTAACACTAATACATTCACCTACAATGACCAGAAATATTTTTCTTTCCTCTCTACATTCACTTCACTTTCTACAGACACATATCTCTCTCCCTACCCCTCTCTCCCTCTTCCCCTATTTCTCTCCTTCTCTTTCCTTTTCTCTCCATCTCTCTCCCCCTCCTCCTCCTCTCCATCTCTCCCTCCCTCTCTATTTTCCCTGTTTTCACCTGGAAGCCTACTCACGAGAGAATGCCAACTTCCAGTCAATGTAATCAATATTCGATTCCAATTTATAGCCACAATTTCGAATATGGATTTCTTGGGTAACTATTTTCACATCACTCAGAGAACTGGCGCTGTATAATCCTCACACTCGTTTAAATTAGAAATCGTAAATAAATAAGTTGTTCAGTTAGTAAAATTGTAGTGATTTTAGTTCCGACAGGAAGTTGTGGAGAGCCATGATCTCCAACGTCCTGAAGAGACATAGCACATAAAGAATAATTTATTGCAACTGCTACAGAGTCTAGGTAATATCAGTCGTCCTATATAGCAACCAATGGTAATCAATTTCTCCGCAAGAGGAGAGAGGGTTGTCTCTACAGAAGGATGCTGAGAATATCATAGACAAAACATTTGAGTACCAAGGAAGATCTATGCCAAAACAATAATCTAAAGGACATTTATAGTTATAATCGGAACGAGACAGTTCAAATGTCTGGAACATATAATGAAGAAAGAGGGAATTTGACACTGACGCGATATATTGAAGGCAGCAGGACCTGATGGGAGCATTAGCTTCCTCCCTAATGAGATTCTGTAAATCCTACGCTGTTTCTGATCTTTATCTGTAATCTTCCTGGTGTCATTAGTTCCAAAGTAAGCATTTATGATGATGACACCTGTCTCAAAAGCAAGTCCATCAGAGCTGACAAAGTTAACCTGATCGCTGCTCTTGAAAAGGACCTCCAATCAGTGGTTAACTGGTGGAAGAAATGGCTTGTAAATTTTAATGCTTCCAAAAAAAAACTGTTCTCATTTAACTACGATAGAGAAACTTTTCTGTCCACCATTGCTGATGCTAGACTCTCCTGGAGAGCGTCTCACTGTGACTTCTTGAGAGTGGAACGACTACATCGAATCAATAGCTGCATCTACTGCAAGGAAATTTAGGTCACTGTTTCGTGCCAGAAGGTTTTTCTCGTCAGAGTCCATCTTTTACATTTACAAATCTACATTCGTCCGTGTATTGAATACTGTTGTCATATCTGGTCAGGTACTTCTGCTACCCTTCTCGGGGTTCTTGACAAGATCCAAAGAAGGATCTGCAATGTAATCAATCATGACATGGCATCTCGACTTCAGTTACTTTCTCACCGACCTAAAGTGGCTTCCCTCTTTTCTATAAATATTTTCATGGCTACTGCTTTGATGAGCTTTTTTCCCGGGTGCTCGGACTACGTGAATTTAAACGTGATATTAGATTGCCATCTAGGTCCTACCCTTTTTGCTGTTGAATTAGGTGGATGTAACCGCCACTTCTGTTCCAGCAGTATCTTTTCTTGCACTTCTTGCCTGTGAAACTCCCTTCCGTTTCCTTGCCTCCCTGATAATTACAATCTTCAAAAGTTTAAACGCCATATCAAGGGCTATACTCTTGAACCCTGTTCATCTTTTAGCCTTTCCTCGGTCTCAGTCTTTTCTCTCACCTTCACTCTCTGTAACCTCCTGCGTACTAGTGATAATAAAATATACTTATTAAAAATAGGCTTCTGAAGTTCAGTAATTGTTATCAATCTTTCCAGTATTTTTTTAGCCAATTCAGCACAAGGAAGGCGATAATATTAATAAGAGGCTACTGGGAGTGAAAGAGAATGCACAAAGATTTTAGATGTAACCGGTAATCCAACCCTAAACAAGGTTTACACTTCTGCCGCTGTTCAAAGGACCGCAGAGGAATGTAAACCGGCTGATAGGCGAACCTATCTACTCCTAATGAGGAAGAAAATAAATAGTAAATAAAATTCTAGATTTTGGCCGGAGACGTTAGAATTTTAAAGTTGAAGCGGACTTTAGAAGGAACCGGAAACCCAGTTCTAAACAGGAAACCTCAGTCCTCCTCAAAAAAAAAAAAAAAAAAAAGGGAAAGAGCGTCATCCGGAAGATAGGCGAACCTATCTACTCCTATTTATGTGAATTTCCTTCCCAGCATTTTGTTTGAAATAGTGTCGGATATCAACATCATGATCATGTCATTGTTTTCTCTTTGAGTTACACTTGCTAACCATTTTAGTTGTTGTGGCTGTTGGAAGTCCTCAATTGTTGTGGTTTCTGTTAATTCGAACAGTTCTTTGTTTGTGATTCTCTAGCGTCAGGCAAGGAGATTCGCATAAAGATGGATCTCGCTAAGAAATACCTGCTACAACGATGGACTTGTGCAAAAAACTAGTCAAAGCTTACGAAATAACTGTTACAACGTATTTTCATTCGGCTGTCTCAATTTAAATTGCAGCTTAATGTTAAAATAACGACGATTATAATGTCTGTTTCTAATATGACAAAATTGAGCATCCCACTCACGCACAGAGAGGAGAGAGAGAGGAGGGAGGGAACACATTCGAGTACACAAACTCGTACACCAGTACATACAGCAAAGATTGCTTTCGGCAAATATCTCTCTACAAATTATACCAACTCTACATTGGAAATCACTTAGCGACGCGTATTGCGGAAGAATATTCAACATTTAAACATGATTATAAACATTCGGGAAACGGTTTTTAAATTATAAAGAAATGATTTAAAATAATTAAGAAAAATGAGTGCATTTTGAACATATGGACGTTTTGCACTTAGAATATATATATATATATATAAGAGCAAAGGATACATAAACCTCTCTCTCTCTCTTGCTCTGTATATAAATATATTAAACCGAGAAAAAACAACTTTAATTAAATTATTAGTTACTATCAGAACATTTCTACGTTTCGTGATTTGAAGATTTTTAAAAATATCGTTTAAATTAAACAAAATATTTTTTAAACCGACCTAAATAGGTAAATACTTGTTAACCAACCTTCCCAATGTGATATTATAATTTCTTGACAGTAAAACTTCTGTCTGTACACTTCCTATGATATCTATCTATCGATATATAAAATTATAAACCTTCGGGAAGCGTTTTGTTTTTTAATTATAAAGAAATGGTCTAAAATAATTAAGAAAAATGAGTGCATTTTGAACATATGGACGTTTTGCACTTAGATTTTATGTACATATATAAGCAATGGAAACATGAATATTTCCCTCTCTCTCATGCGCTCTCTGTCATTTTCCATCGCCCTCTCTCTCTCTCTCTCTTTTTCTCTCTCTCTCTCTCTTTTTCTCTCTCTCTCTCTTGCTTTGTATATAAATATATTAAACCGAGATAAAAAAAACATCTTTAAATTATTAGTTACTATCAGATTTTTAAAAATATCGTTTAATTAGACATAATAATATTTTAAACCTACGGAAGTCTAGAATGTACATAAATAAATAGGCAAATACTTGTTAACCAATGTTCCCAATGTTATATTATAATTTCTTGACAGAAAAACTTCTGTCTGTACACTTCTTTTTATTCGTATGATATCTATCTATTTATATATAAAATCCCTTAGTCTGTCCGTCACACCCTGTAAAAATAGTCATAGACCGATCGAAACCAAATTTTGAGGAGAAGTGTAAACAGGTAAAATCGTACAAAGTACAATTGGTTTTACTCGGGTGAGTAACTTAGTACGATACATTTTCATTCATTTTTTTTTTTTTTGGTAAAATTAAAAGTTTTATTATTTAATACTCCCACTATTTTAAAAAGAAAACTTAATCATTGAAATAACAAATACTTATTTAATAAAAATGCAATATTGTTTTTGCATATATTTTCTTTAAGTTTTATACAAGAATCCTGATTCTAGTTCGCTTTGCGTTTGTGAAAACTAATGACAGAGTAAAGCAAATCACGGGGACAAACGCTTGAAAAAGTTGGAATTTGACTCCACAAAGAAATATTTATTCATGGCCAGTTGTATTAAGATTAAAGTTGAGCATGCAGCTCAAGAGTTAAAAAGGATTAAAAGATTTTTTTTTTTTTTTAAATATGAATATTGTTTACTATGAAGTCCTAATTAAAGAAATTATTAAACCGCGAAGTAAGGTTTTGTCAAATTTCCTAGTAAATCAATTTATTCAAATTTCATCGTTTGGTTGGCGAAATTGAACGAAACGTAGATTTTGTAAACCTCGACAAAACTGTTAGCGATAACTTTAACAATACTAAGTACTGCAAGGATTTCAACACACGTCAGCGTGCTGCAAAAAAATTCTAGTTTGTAAAACTGCAACTTGCATTGTTTCTGTCACCAAATTTATTTTTATCTTTGTTGTATAGCTTTCGGCAGGCTACACATTTCTTTTGGTATTTTAACGAGTGGGCACACAAGTGTCGTAGTTGACTTATCTAAAGATCTCCAGCTAGGTCAAGTTACTTACATTTTTGTCACGATTCCTTTGGAGTTAACGCATGGTTCTCTCTTGGCAGCTTTTTAGCTATTGAGTGGTGAAGTCTACAAGTGTCTCATATTTCAAATGTAATGTTTTTTTAGTAACGCCTCATAAGAATACGGCACAAAATGCTTCCTACTCAAAATTAGTCACTTCTGGCCTCCGCCAAATTAAAGTTGGCCAATCAGGAGGTGTGTGGTTTCTAGTCTCTCTTTGAATGTTCGATTCCTCGCGTGGATGTGAGGGAACTCGACGTTCCATCACAGGCGTATATACAACTTCCTATCATCCAGTTGTTCCATCATTCAGGTG